CCTGTGTTTGGAGGGTGTCAGGAGAGGGCGAGGACCCGTGACAACTTCCTCTCTTCCGCCTCTGTGCCTGTGGTGGGGAGCGGGACTCTTGTCAGGCCGGCCGACTGGTGAGGAGCCCGAGTGGTCCGGAGGAGGCTGGCTGGGAACAGCGGAGGCCTGTCCACGGGGCCCGTGTGCTTACTTCCCGAGGCCGGGTGGCCCTAGCGCACAAGCGACTCTTCTTTGTCCCCTCTTCCCCCGTCCCCACGACGGTGCATGCCTGTGCGCTGAGATTTACCACGGTAACCCTTCTACGTGCACGGTTTGGTGGCATCAGGTACATTCGTGGTGTCGTGGGACTGTCTCCACTGTCCACCTTTCAGACTTTGCCATCTTCCAAACGGAAGCCGTAAGCCACTAACCACTCCTCCCGTATCCCCCTCCCCACAGCCCCTGGCTCCCACCGCTCTCCTTTCTGTCTCTGCGGACTTCGGATGCATGGAATCGTGTAGTGTTGGTCCTTTTGTGCCCGGCTTAGTTTATAATGTCCTCAAAGTCCCAGAACTTTCTGCGCTAGAGCTTGTCCCGTAGCAGAGACGGCCCCGGCTTTTCCTCCCGCTGTGGATTCAGTGGCCAGACGCATCCTGGCACCGAGGCAGACCCCTCGTGGGTCCGGAAACCTGGAGGCTCACCGCCTCGGGCAGTGCTGAGGGTGGGGGCGCCGGCTCGCTTGTCCCCTGCCGCCCCGCTTCGGGCTGAGTGGTGGCCGCGGCCTCCCTGCCACGGGCACAGACCCGATTGAGGCTTCGCAGCTGCTGCTGCAGGTCCAGCCCTCGGCGTCTTTCAAGACACCATCTCTCAGGCCAGAGTGAGGATTTGGTGGACAGATGGGGGCTGGGTGGGCCTGTGCGGTCATACGCCTGTGATGACATCATACCGCCCGTGCCGTGACCCTTTTAGTGACCCCGTGGACGTACTTGGCCAGCCACCATGTCTCCCTCCCCAAAAGTGGGAGCGTTTTTCATAATAAACAGGAAATTTCATTTACCTGCAAAAAAAAAAAAAGAACTTAGAGCTCTGTTGGCTCCAACTTGAGGTGTTGGCGGGTAACTGGGTTTGCGGGCGGGGCAGGAGGGGGTACTTGGGGTTCTCGGCTCTGCCCTGGGGACCCCTCCCCCTCCTCTCTCTGTCTTTCCGGGAGTCCTCCTGGGCCCCCACCAGTGGAGGAGGGGGCGTGAGGCCACTTCGGGAGGAGTCTGGGGGGTGAGCTCAGCTCCCTGTGCGCCGCCCTGACTGTGGGGCCAGAGCGAACTTGGGCTGGAGCCCAGCCCATCCGGGCGCCCCCATTCCCATTCCAGGCACCTTGCATCCGGCATCGCTGCCTCCCCAGCTCTGCGAATCTGTGCTCCGTCAGCGTGCGGTGGTCTGAGGACAGGCAGTGTGACGAGGGGACGAGTTGGGCCTCATTTTTGCTGAGAGGGAACTGTCATTCATTCCTGAGGCCTTGCTTTTCCAGGGCTGACCTGCCGTTCCCAGAGGCAGCCATAAAAGGCTCCCTGCCCGCTTCCCTCGCCTGCTCCTCGGCCCTCCCGTCTTCGGTTTCTGCTGGGGGTGTCTCTCTGGGCATGCTGTCCTGTGGCTCTTGGGGCCAGGGGGGAGATGGTGGCGGTGGCCATGTCCTCTGCACCCGGCGGCCTTGGGTGCTGGCTCCAGGCTGTCTCCCACTCTCTGAGCACTGACAGTTGGGTGGTAGGTGGTCCGGCTGTTTGCAACCCTCTGCCTGGGCCTAGGGAAGGCCGATGGCTGCCCTGCCCAGGCTCAAGTTCACATTTACCGGGACCTTACTGCCCAGCCCCCACCGCCCCGCCCCCATTAGAAACTCTGGCTGGTTGAGGGGCTGCCTCTGATCGGAGCACCCTGTCTCCCTGGCGTGCTGTGGGGGGAACAGACTGCCTGTTGCTGCCGTCGCAAGGCTGCCGTGCTAAGTCAACAGAAACAGTGAATCTGGGGTTTTCCTGAGGTTCCGGTGTCTCACCCCCAGGACGAAAGCTGGGCACTGGTCTCAGAACCAGGCTGAACTTCAGCGGCTCTCTGTTCCTGACTGGTTCCACTGTCCCCAGCCCCTCGGCCCCTCCTGCCTGTGAGGCCTGTGCTGGGAGCCCCCTGTGTTACCTGATCTAATCCCCCCCTACGGTCAGAGGAGGAGGAGTTGTTTTTGGAATTTTACAGATGAAGAAATGGTAACTCAGGAGTTCGGAACTTCGGGTCAGGTCGCAGTCAGCGGCCGGCGCCGGGAGTCGAATCCAGGGCTGGCTTATTTAAGAGCCTGTGTTCTTTCCAAGTGCTTAAGTGTGGGGAGAGGCTTGGAACGCTGTGGCTTCGGGCGCACAGACGGCTCTGAAGCACACTTGAACCTGGGGGGCCTGGCGGCGAGAATGTTTATCCCGCCAAGCAGACCTTCACCCCTTGGCGCACCCCCAGTGTTAACTGTTTATCTTAGAGCCCTTGCGATGGGGGCCTGGTTCTGGCCTGAGTGGAGGTAGCCTCTTGGGGAGCCCGGCTGCTGACTTGCCTTCAGTCCGGGAGGCTTGGCAGGACTGGGAGCAGCCGAATACCACTCTGATGACCCACTCAGCGGGCTCCTTACCGGAGGGGTGGGGAGGGCTGCCCCCCCCCCCCCACGGCGCGGTAGTTCACTCTGTCCTTTTTCGTTGTTCTCCCCCTCTACCTGTTAACTTTTCTGTAACCTGCAGTCTGGATCATGCGTGGCTAAATCCCATTTTGGTCAGAGGGTCGTGAGCATGTTTTGCAAGGGATGCTAGCCAGGAGCAGGCTGTCAGGACGAGATTGGTGGGCCCATTTCTGGGCAGGGTCTCGGGCTCTTCTCTATGAGAGCAGCTTCTCCAGCTTACTTTTGGAGGCTGACTGCACTCTGGGGCGTATTGGGTGCTTCTTAAGAGGCCCGGCCTGTATTTGAGGTGGCCTGTGGGGAGCAGGTGAAGAACAAGGAGGAGCCCAGGGACGAGGAGGCTTGCCCAGACTCAGCCGGAGAGGACACGGTAGTTCGGGGGCTTCGACCCAAGCTTCCCAAAGACTCTTAGGCCATTGTTGTCACCTGGTCTTCCTACGTCTCCTCATCTTTATTCCTAAAAGATGAGAAATAGGGGCGCCTGTGTGGCTCAGTAGGTCGAGCATCTGCCTTCGGCTCAGGTCATGATCCCAGGGTCCTGGGATGGAGCCCGGCATCGGGCTCCCTGCTCAGCGGGGAGTCTGCTTCTCCCTCTGGCTTGTGCTCTCTGTCTCAAGTAAATGAAATCTTAAAAAATAAATAAATAAAAGATGAGAAATAGAACCTTCACTTCTTCTGGGGGCCGTGGAAGAAGTGGAAACATTTTAAAAGGAGGCATGACTGTGAAATAGGATTTAGGTTAAACTGCTGTTGGAGAGACCCCAAAATCCATTGGCTTAAACCAGATATCAGCTAGTTGGGTGGAAAATAACAGTCCATGCCATCCTGAACGTTCAGCTTTCATCTCTGAACTCAAGGTGGTTGCTCCAGCCCCTGCTATCACATCTGCATTTCATTCCTCAGGAAGGGAGAAAAGGACAGAGGTCTCATAGACCTTGTTCATTTCTGCCGCAGGAGAGGCTAGAAAATGCGGTCTTAAACTGGGGGGCCCCTTAAACTGGGGGGCCCTGAGACCGTTGTCAAGGGAAGAACTACAGTGAGTGGTCTCTGCTGCTGATGGCCCCGCCCACCAAGGGGCCTCCACTGGACGCTGGGAGACCGCGTAGCCTACACTTAAGAGCTAGACGTGATCTAGTCCAGCTACCTCGTTTTAGAGACGCATTTAAGGCCTAGAGAGGGCATGGTGGTGTGTAGCATTTCGTAGGCTTGTTGTAGAGCAGTGGCCAGGGAAGTTTTTCTGAAGGGTCAGAGTTAATGTTTTTGGCCTGCAGGCCTGTGGTCTCTGCCGTGGCTGAACTCTGCTGCTGTGGACAAGAGCAGGCACAGACGGTACGGAGGAGCGTGGCCGTATCCCGCTAAAACTCTTATTTACGGGGGGCGCCTGGGGGGCTCAGTCGTTAGGCATCTGCCTTCAGCTTGGGTCATGATCGCAAGGTCCTGGGATCAAGCCCCGCATCAGGCTCCCCTGCTCAGCGGAGAGCCTGCTTCTCCCTCTCCCGCTCCCCCTGCTTGTGTTCCCTCTCTCTTTCCCTCTCTCCCTGTCAAATAAATAAATAAAATTTAAAAAAAACCCAAAACAAAACCAACTCTTATTTACGGAACAGGTGATGGGCCAGCTGCAGTTTGCCAACCCCTGTTGCGGAGAATAAGTGAGGTTCCTGGAGAAGGGGGGCCCAGCACGAGCACCCCACGAGTAGCAGCTGCAGGTGTCCCAGCTGTTCCTTACTGTCCTTGTCGTGTAAGGGCATCCAGCTGGCATCGGCAGCCCCCGAGTCTCTGTTCTTCTCACCACGCTGCTGGGCTCCGCCTCCTCACTCTTGCCCTGGTCTGAGCCACTTTAGAGCCCAGATTTTATGACTTCTTCTTCTTCTTCTTCTTTTTTTTTTTTTTAAGATTTTATTTATTTATTTGAGAGAGCGAGGATGAGCAGGGCCGGGGGCGGTAGAGGAGGAGGGAGAAGCAGGCCTCCCCACGGAGAGAGGGAGCCCGACACAGGGCTCAATCCTAGGACCCCGGGATCATAACCCGAGCCTCAGGCACACGCTTAATGGACTGAGCCAACCAGGCGCCCCTGGGTTTTGTGACTTCTCGTGCATTATTTATCTGTGGCTCACCTCTCCGTGCCAGGTGCTGCTGGGCGAGGGTATCGGGTGGGTACAGAAATAGGGGGGACCTGACGCCCCTGCCCTCGGGGTGCTGTGCTGGCCCCGTGAGGCACATGGTGGAAATTTAAATGACACCAGGCTGAGAAGTCCGAGGTCGGGTCAGGGAGGAGAGCTCTCAGAGCAGCCTGGCCCCCGGTGCCCCCAAGCTCACCCCACTCTTCCTGCAGGTTACGACTTCGCTGCCGTCCTGGAGTGGTTCGCCGAGCGGGTCGACCGCATCATCCTGCTCTTCGATGCCCACAAGCTGGACATCTCTGACGAGTTCTCCGAGGTCATCAAGGCCCTCAAGAACCATGAGGACAAGATCCGCGTGGTGCTGAACAAAGCAGACCAGATCGAGACCCAGCAGCTGATGCGGGTCTATGGGGCTCTCATGTGGTCCCTGGGGAAGATCATCAACACCCCCGAGGTGGTCAGGGTATACATCGGCTCCTTCTGGTCCCACCCGCTCCTCATCCCTGACAATCGCAAGCTTTTTGAGGCGGAGGAGCAGGACCTCTTCAAAGACATCCAGTCTCTGCCCCGAAACGCTGCCCTCAGGAAGCTCAATGACCTGATCAAGCGGGCACGGCTGGCCAAGGTAGACTGGGGGTGGGGGCAGGGCCCCCTGCTGGGTAGGGCCCATGGGGGCTGGGACTGGCACTTGGGGCCCCAGGATTGATCTGCCATGGCTTTTGGGATGCCCGAGACCCATCCGCACAGACCTACAGCCACACCTATGTTGCCCTGTGTCTAGACGGGGACGGGTCCTCTGTGCACCCATGGGTTGTGGCCCTTGCTCAACTGAGTCTTCTTGATGCATGCCGACGTTAAGCGGGAAGGGAACACTGGGCCAAGGGGTGGCCTGGGAAGTGGGGAGCCAGTGGGGGTGCGGTCCTCATCGGCTTCCCCTCCCAGGCCTGTTGATTGAGCACTCTGCATGTGCGGGGTGCTGGGGACACAGGGGGACTGACTCGCACAGTCCCTGCCCTTCCAGCGCGCACCAGTGGTACCGGGAAAGCGGCACATGTAAAGGGAAGTCAGGCACGGTTATTTGTCCTGTCGTGGGATGCCGCAGAAGCAGGCGACTGGGAGGCCACGGGTGGGTGCTGACGCATAAGCCAGGACAGGAAGGAGCTAGTGGAGAGATGGGGTGCAAGCCTGTGGGCCGAGGGAGAACCCTGGGCGGCCTCAGCCCCCAGAGGTCTCGTAAACCATCCGGCCCCTCCCTTGGTACCTGCTGGCGGCGGCTGGATTGCTCAAGAGCTTGGAATCTCAGCTCCGGGCCACGTACTTCAGGGAGACCCGGTGTGGCTGGGCCTGGGAGAGAAGGCTCATGCCCCCAGCGGGCCCCTCAGACGCAGAGGGGCAGAACACCCCCTGATTGAGCGCGACCGCACGTCGTGAGCCCGCGCGGAGAAGTCCGCAGGCCGCCACCGTGCGCATGCGTGGATCATGCTCGGCTTCAGCGGGGACCCAGTGCATCACCGCTCCTCTGATGAAGTGGCCGCGGAGGGCAGGGGTGTTCACAGCTGCCTCCTGGCTGGGGGGGTGGGGGGGGTGGGTGCGGGGCTAGGGCTTCAGGGAAGGCATCCTGTGGCTGGTGCAGCGGTCACCCCGGGCTCCCGAGTAAAGGCCTGGGGAGTGGCGCCTCCTCTGCAGGTGGCAGGCCCCCTCCGGGGAGAGCCAGGAGGAGCCCTGCGGCCCTCGCTCCTGCCTCCGGGAGCCAGCCGCCCGAGCGTAGCTCCGGCTTCTGCGAGTCCGCTGTGGGCCACACACAGCGGCTCAGGCCGCCCCACACCCATCTCGAGGTCTGAAGTCAGGTAGCATTTTGATGCTCACCGTCTTGAGTAAAAAGAACTGATCTCTCATTTTCTAACCCCAGTCTGTGTCTCCACGCTGGTTACCAAAGTGCTCGTGGACCGTACTGGAGCGTGCTAGAAGCGCGAGCCCTCGGGCCCCACCCCACACACCTGAACCGTCTGGGGATCTGTATGCACAGTGAGGTTGCAGACTCTGCTCTGGGGTCTTCCACCTCTCTCACTTCTGGAAGCTTCCCAGTGTGGGGAGCTGGTTCTGAGAGGGACCCCGTGAGAAAACCCGCATCACTGGCTCCTGGCCTCCCGGTTCCAGGCTGCAGGGAAGGGCAGTGCTGCTCCCTCCTTGGCCAGCACCCCCCCACCCCCGCTGCCAGCAGGGCTGCCTATGCCCTCGCGGAGCCTCCTTTGGGGACAGAACAAAGGGCGGGCTCCCCGTTCATCTGCAGAAATGGTGTGTAACCGCCTGGCTTCCGGGCACCCTGAGTCACCATGCCTGGAAAACCCCAGGGCCTCCGATCTCGGCCCGTCCCGCACCTGCGGTTCCAGGCTGTTTCCTTTTCCTGGAGCGAACGGCTTTCTGTGCCAACCTGCACGGGCCCGTGATGGGCAGAGGGGCCGCTGCCATGCTCTGTGACAGACCTGCTGCCCTCGGGCCGTTCGCACACAGGGTCAGGCCGGGGGAGGGGCTTCGATGGCGCAGAGCTGGCAGTGGGGGGAGGAGGGGGAGGCTGGCCGGCTGCAGCCCTCCACGCCCAGACGTTACTTGGCAAGGCAGAGGGCGCTGAGGGCCCGTGGCCTTGGAGGGTGCCCAGCATTACCAGCCCGCCATGGGGAAGTGAAGGGTGTGCCGCCCTTCGCTGGCAAACATCGAAGTAAGGTACTGAGCTCAGATAAACTTCAGAACATCTGGGTGAAGCCTCATGTGGTTTTCCTCGTCCTTACTCACGCCGAGCTGTCCGGGTGATACACTGAGCAGAACTCGGGCTGTGTTGGGGTTTTGAGAACTCGACGTCGGCGGCCACCGGTGTGCGCATGTGGGATGGCGGGCTCTGCATCTCCGCCGCGGGACAGGAAGCTGGGGTTGCACCTGGCGCCCCAGAGAGCATGGGTCCTGGACTGCTTCAGGCGGTCCCCGGTGACGTGACGGTCCTGGTCTTCTGGGGCAGCCCGGCGCAGGCCCCCTCTCGACACGGTGCCCCTTCCTGTTCTCCAGGTGCACGCCTACATCATCAGCTCCCTCAAGAAGGAGATGCCCAACGTGTTCGGGAAAGAGAGCAAAAAGAAGGAGCTGGTGAACAACTTGGGAGAGATCTATCAGAAGATCGAGCGGGAGCATCAGATCTCCCCCGGGGACTTCCCGAGCCTCCGCAAGATGCAGGTATGGCTGTCCCCCGCTCGTCGCCCTCCCTGGGATGGGGCCTCCCAGCTGGGAGCCCCTGACTTCAGCGGCCATGACACCGCAGAGGGGAATGCGGTGACTCACCCCCAGGGGTGGGGAAAGGGCGGGGCGCCAGGCCCTCCAGCACCATCCTGGCTCCCCCCCCTCCCCCCCCCCCCCCGCCAGCCCTTCAGGGAAGGAATTGTTCCCATCTCCACTAAACAGACTGGGGAGCCAAGGCCGAGGGGCAAGCCTCGGTGGGGGCGTGACCTGGGGCCGGCTCTGTGGCTCGGGACCCCCTGCTCCGGCCACTCTGCCTGGAGTCTGTGGACACCTGACCCAGCCCTTCCCCCTCCCTTGCCCACCACAGGAGCTCCTGCAGACTCAGGACTTCAGCAAGTTCCAGGCCTTGAAGCCCAAGCTGCTGGACACGGTGGACGACATGCTGGCCAACGACATCGCCCGGCTGATGGTGATGGTGCGCCAGGAGGAGTCCCTGATGCCCTCTCAGGCTGTGAAGGGCGGCGCCTTCGACGGCACCATGAACGGGCCCTTCGGGCACGGCTACGGCGAGGGGGCCGGCGAGGGCATCGACGACGTGGAGTGGGTGGTGGGCAAGGACAAGCCCACCTACGATGAGATCTTCTACACGCTGTCGCCTGTCAACGGCAAGATCACGGGCGCCAATGCCAAGAAGGAGATGGTGAAGTCCAAGCTGCCCAACACCGTGCTGGGGAAGATCTGGAAGCTGGCCGACGTGGATAAGGACGGGCTGCTGGATGACGAGGAGTTTGCCCTGGCCAACCACCTCATCAAAGTCAAGCTGGAGGGCCACGAGCTACCCGCCGACCTGCCCCCGCACCTGATCCCGCCGTCCAAGCGGAGGCACGAGTGACCGCCCCGCCCCGCCCGGCCGGGCCCACTAGGGGGCGGCGAGGGGCCGGAAAGACTGAGCAGAGTTGCCTCAGCTCTTACAAAGGAAAACCGCCATCTTTCTTTTCAGGCCGTTCGCGGGCCCAGCAGGGAGGTGGGCGATACACTTGTATGTGAATGATGGAACTTTGTGCACAAGAACTATGGATATTTTTAATATATAACGTTAGAGGCAGCGTTCTTTCTTGCCCCTGTCCGCCCCCCCCCCCCCCTCCACCCTTGCGGTAAACCACGGGCCCCCCCCGCCCCCCCCCCCTCCCCCCCCCCCCCGGCAGCTGCCGTGTGTAGACAGGAACCCCAGGATTCCAGTTTGTTTCTGAGCTGAGTACTGCTTCACTGAGCCACTGGCTCCTTCCCTGTCCAGCTCTGCCCCCTCGCCCTGCTCCTGGATTAAGCTGGTTCTGGTGCCTTCCGCCTTGCCCTCCCCGGTGGCCCCCATGCACGGGCCCTGCTCTTTGCTCTCACATCGCACCCCCACCCCCCAGCTTGACAGTCACAGAAGCAAGCCCAGCTCCCTTTTTTATGAGGTCCAAGGGATGAGGGGGATGTGAGAACATCTCCCAGAAAAACATAAGCTAGTTTTGTTCTGTAAAGTGACACCTTTCATACTTGACCGACTTTCCCAGTAACTTCCCAAGCTCTTGCTCAGAAGCTGTGATTTTTGTCTGCTTTCTCACACTCCAACTAGGGGGCAGCTCCACCCAGGAGCTGTTGGATGTGCAGAGCACACCCTGTCGGTGACGCCACGGTTTGTGTTCTGCTTCTCCCTTTCACCCCCTGGAACATTCTGGTGTACCTCCTCCCCCACCTTGGATGGGTGGTGGGCCCTCATGAGTCTGGCCTGGCTTGGTGCTCCAGCCCAGGCCTAGTGTCCAGACAGCAGAGACCAGGGACAACCCCGACCCTTCTCTCCTTGCACCGCCGTTCATTCCCCGTGGAAGCTCTCTCCTCCTATTGAGCAAAGCGGGGCAGCGGACGTCTTGGATGCCCTTCGAATAACCTCCCTCCAGGCTGAGGTACGAGGGACTGGAGGCAGTGAGCAGCCAGGGCAGGCTGCCCCATCAGCTTTGCCTTGGCCGGGCTCTCCCAGCACAGCCTCGGGGGGGGCCGGGACCCAGCACAGCCTCGGAGGGCCGGGATGCACTCCACTCACCGGCTCCCTGCTGGAACCGCGGTGGGGGGAGCACGCTTCCCACCAGGCACTCCCAGGGTAGGTCTCAGGGACTCCGGTGGACCTCTTCTGGCACCACCAGCCCCCCCGCCCGCCGCCCTCCAGGGCTGCTCCCCGGGCCTCTGCGGCGTTTGCGTTACCTGCGGCCGGCTTCGGCCCAGCATTGTGTGCAGTATTAGGTGAGGGTGGAGGCAGCCTCCTGGTTGGGAAGTCACTGTGAGGTGTCCTGGCTCATCCCCACTTGCCTGTGGGAAGAAAAAGCAACCAAAGACCGCTTTTTTTTTCTTGCATTAAAAGAAGGTTTAATTGTGCTGAAGCTTTCAGTGCTTAGTTGTCACTTCCAGGGACCTGCCCCACACAGCGCCTGTTGGGACACTGGCAGAGCATGTGGAAGGCCGAGGTGCCGGCAGAGACCGATGGGCAAGCCTGCCGGGGTGCGGTGGTGGTCCCTGCCCTGCGATGTTCAGCTGGGTGGCAGCCACTGCCTTCTCGGGGAGTGGGAAGGGGTAAAGTCAGGAGAACTTCTGGGGACAGGCTAGGCTGGCCCCCCAGGGGCTGGGGGAGAAGGTACCCACATTCTCCCACCTTCACATCTTCTCCAACCTGGGCCCCCTCCCTTGCCTCGGGCAGATGGGGGGCACCAGGAGGGGTCAAGTAGACAAGGGTTTAGTGTGCTCCACGCTAGCCCCAGGGTGACTTGGAGACAGGCCTAGAGGCACACCAGCACCGACAAAAACACAATTGGGAAGGGTGGGGCCTGCGAGGGTCCGGGGACTGTTGGTTCCAGCGGAGGGGAGGGAAGGGTGGCAAATCGGAAGCTGATACGCCCTGGAAGGTAGAATACTCGAGGTGCAGTCTGGGTGGAGACTGGTCCAGGCTGGCCCATGTGTGGCAAACGGCAGAGCACAAAGAGGTGCCCGTGGCTTTGGAGGGCCAGGTTGTGTGCCGCAGCTCGTGTGGCAGGCGCCTGGTCTGATGGCCAGTGGCCCAGCTAGTGGGGGGGCCCACCAGCTCTCCCGTTACCACTCAGAAGGTTTGCCTTGACCTCCAAGACCTAGGAGGTCACTTTTCCCCATTTCACAGCCAGGGAGTGGAGACTTGGGAGAGCTGGGAGACTCAAACCCAGTCTGCCCGACTCCAGAACACGGGCTCTCGAAAGCAGCCTTTAAAAAGGAAAAGCTTGAGGGGCGCCTGGGTGGGTCAGCCTTCGGCTCAGGCCATGATCCCAGGGTCTGCGGGATTGAGCCCCATGTCCGGCTCCCTGCTCAGCGGGGAGCCTGCTTCTCCCTCTCCCTCTGCCTGCTGCTCCCCCTGCTTGTGCTCTCTCTCTCTGACAAAATCTTAAAGGGGGGGGGCGGGGAAGCTCGCTGTGTCCCCAAAGTCTGTGCTAAAGACTCAGGTTTGAGAACCCCACACTGAAGGTCCAACGAGGTCACTCCAGCCCAGGGCCTTGAAGGCTTGGGACAGTCCTCAATTTCCAGGGGTCACCCAAGAGGTAGAGCATGCTCATTCAAGCTGTTAGAGAAGGAAGACCCAACTTTGGAATTCTTACGGAATGTGGGTGAGAGGCGCTGCTGGCCCGCTCTGCCCCTTCCAGCCGAGGCCTGCACTCTCAGCATAGGGCTGCTGCCCCAGGAAACCTCAGCATGGGGGTGCTGCCCCAGGAAATGGATGCCCATCTGAGGCTTGAAGGAGAGGCCCTCGGCAGGTGTCTGCCCCCCTGCTGCTTCAGAGCTCCTGTCCCTGGTCTGTGTTTTATAGTTGGTGGGGGGTCTTCTAGGTTCAGATGTGGCCACCCTCCTGAGGGCTGGCCCCCCATCCCTTCCTCCTCCCTGCCTCCCTAGACCGCTGCCCCTCTGCATTCGAAACACCCCAGCTGAGCAAGTACCCAGAAGGCAGGCCTCAGGCCAGGCAGGGGTGGTTAGAATCCCAGCTGGGCCACTTGTTAGGACTTAGCCTCTCTCTTCCCGAGGCTGTTTTCTTCGTGTGCCAAATGCAGGGACCCCAGCTTCACAGAGGGAAGGCCCCTGGGGTGCCCAGCTCCAGAGGCCCACCGTGGTTGGTCAGGAGGGTGGTAAGGATTGGTGCAGGGAGCCCAGCACCGCACCCAACTCCCAGAACAAAGCAGGCAGGACCCACCCTTCCCTGAAGCAGCTCGCAGACTGGGTGGCGCCCATGGGCCAGAGGGGTGGTGGCCAAGGGGGTTGAGGGCCTGGCTTCCTGTGCACCCAGAGGGATTGGTAATTATAAAACCACGTGGGGCTGCAGCCGCTGTGTGGAGCGTGGGAGCCCCTATAGCGTGTTGGAGCAGCACAGAGAAGGGTTTTGGAAGAAAAACCAGGATGATGAAATCACCATATGTCCACCCATTTGGAGCTTTGGACTTTTCAAAGGACACACCCCTGGTGTGTTGGGGAGGGCGGGGGAGCAGGCATGCGGGGCTGCCAAGACTAGCTTGGGGAGTGGGGGCCCTCAACCCTACCATCTCTATCAGTCCTTCCCCGGAAAGCCACCCCAATAGACAGGGCGATAAAACCCAAGTGCCTGAGCAGCAGGACACAGGGAACCCCCCGACTTACCACCCCCCCTCAACCCCACACTCTAACTAGACAAACAAGCTCCAGCAACCGTTGGTGGCCATCCTGTGGACCATTTGCCTCTCACGCCCGAGCTGGGCAGTTCTCCCTTGTGCACAGAGACAGTGGCCCAGAGAGAGAGAGGAAGTGACTTGCCCAAGGCCAATGCCTGGTCAACAACAGTAAGCAGGGCTGGATGAGGCCGCAGCTAGCGTCTTGGTTTTCCCTGGCTCTCTGGGGCAGAAGTGGGTCACTGCTTCTGCTGTGGCCAAGGGCAAGGGCAAGGGCAGTCTGGCACCCTAGTTAGCCCTGCAGGACCATTCGCTAAGAGTGGCTTCCCAAGCAGGGCTGGGAGGGGCTCAGCCTCGGCCACTGGGGCTGCATCTTGCTCGACCTTGGGGGAAAGGGGAGCCACAGACCAGGCTGGGGAGGCTTAAGATGTGGCCATGGATGCAAGAGACCCTGGAGCCTGGCTTGCTTCTGGTCCCCTCGCAGACTCAGAGGGCTATGGTCTGGGGGCGGGAGAAGCTGAGTTCCCTGTCACTTACTTGGGGCCCCCTTATCTGGGCCAGCCTCTCTCCCCTGCTAGGCCTGGGTCTCGCCATCTAAGGACCTTGACAGAAGTCTATGTCAAGTCCACTGTGGACTATGTCCTCGAGGACTATGTCCTCACCCCTGTCGCCAGCATCTGGGCACGACACGCTGCCCTCCTGCTGCCAGGTACTGGCAGACACCTGCAGCCTGGGTCAGGAGGCAAGCTGGCACCGCCCACTTCCCACCTCCACGGCCTCAAAGTATTACTCTATTAAGAGAAGGAAATAATAACCCCCTCCTCCTGAAGATAACAGATCTGCAGTCACTTTGAAATGCTCAGAAGCAGCACCATAGGAATGGAATGTAAGGTGTTATCCAGGTGATCTGCTCCCTACAGGGCTGGGTGAGAGATGGTGCCAGCACCTCCATACCAAAGGGACTCAGAGGAGGGAAGAGGTTATGGGGGAGCAGGAGCCCCTGCAGCTGGGTGGGCCTCCCACAAGCAGTCACCGAGAGGCCAGTGGGGACGAGGGAGGTGGTGGCGGTCCCCTGCTCAGACTCACCCAGTGAGCACCCGCTGGCCTGGGCCAGGATCCTCGTCCCACCCAGGGCTCCCTGGAGCAAGGACCTGTGGCCCTACAGGTCTGGCTCACACAAGCTCAGAGAACAGATCTACTGAGGCACAGCAGTGCTGTGCGCAAGAACTTTCTGCCGTCAGGGCTGGAGGACGGGCTGCTTGTGGAGGCTGGAGCAGGAGTTCAGGCACCGACTGAGTCCTGAGAGGCTTTCTGACCTTGAGGCCGCACAGGAGTGGGCAGGGCACCCAACCCCCTTTACAGACAAGGAAACTGAGGCTTGGAACAAGGATGTGACAGAAACGAAAACAGGGGGCGC